TTCTTCTTGGAAGCTTCAATAAAATGAAAGTAATAAAAATATAATCACTCACACAAAAAAATAACAACAATATAGGAGAGGAGATACCAGTGAACAAGAAACTTCACAAATATTTAGAAATTAGAAAGCAAGTAAGGTAGTGGTAACTAATTTAGCAGAGCTGAGTAAAGGAAATTATAACATGAAAACTTATGAGTGGTTAGTAATGAAATGTCATAATTGAAATGTCTCTGACAGGTAGTAAACTCAAGTGAATAGGAAGTAAAGGAAATCCTTTCTGGAGGAATGCATTTCATTTTAGGTATCAAAGAATTCTCACGGTAATTTTTCAGTGACATTGAACAGCATATAGGAAATAACCAAACACACAGGGAAATAAGGACACTGTAAATGAGAATCAGAAGAAATAAAAGAGAGGAAAGAAAAACCCACAATTTATTAATTGGAATTATGAGACCAAGATTATAAGATAACTATGTAAATTTGAAAATATCTGCAGAAAACTAAAAAACATGAGCCACTAGATTTGAAAGAGAACAAAGCTGAATTTCTGGAAATTGAGAATAAAAAAACAAAAGAATACATGACAAAATACAAAAAAGGATATAAACAACAGGAATACAGGAAATGAAATCAAGAGGTAAATAGCTAGATGCAATGGCAGACAAGACACAGCTGAAGAGTGAGTGTACTGGATGCAAAACCATCCAGAATGACCCACAGGAAGAAAAATACAGAAAATATTGAAGAGGGGTTAAGTGTCACAGAGGATGGAGGAAAAAGGTTTAATATACATTTAATTGGAAGTCTACAGAAAAAAAAGGACTATGCGATAGAGACAATATTGGAAGAGACAGCAGCTGAGAATTTTCCAGATCTGATGAAAGAGTCCAATTCTCAGACTCAAGAGTCCCAGAGAACCCCAGGGAGAATAAGTGGAAAGAAATCCATTCCTATTTTCCACATTGTAGTGAGACTTCAGAACTAAAGAGAAATGTTTTAAAAGAAAAGAAAGATTATTCTCTAAAGACCAATAGATTCACAGCTGACTTCTCATCAGCAACATTATAAAGAAGAAGATAGTGGAATGATAACTTTAATGAGCTGAACAAAAATAAATATCCACCTAGAATTTTAAACCCAGAGAAAATATCTTTCAAAAATAAGGGTAAAATAAAGATGTTTTATGTCAAAACCCCCCACAAATCATTATTTGTCACTAGGGATCCTAAATAAAGGAAATTACTTCAAGCAGAAGAAAAGTTATCCCAAATGAAAGGTCTGAAGTAGAAGAAAGAATGAATAGCAAAGAAAAGGCAAAAGTGGGTAAATCTGAATGAATATTGGATTTATAAAACATTGCTCTAATAATATTTTGCTGAGGTAAAAGAATATGAGATAGTATTAAAAGATATGAAGGGGGCGCCTAGGTGGCTCAGTCGGTTAAGCATCTGCCTTTGGCTCAGGTCATGATCCCAGGGTCCTGGGATCGAGCCCCACATTGGGCTCCCTGCTCAGTGGGGAACCTGCTTCTCCCTCTCTCTTTGCCTGCTGCTCTGCCTACCTGTGCTCTCTCTATATCTCTCTGTCAAATAAATAAATAAAATCTTAAAAAAATAACCTATAAAAGATATGAAGCAACATTAATGTAGAAATGCAGGCACTGGTATTTTTGATGAATATGAGGAGTATATGCCTTGGTAATTAGAGTAAGAAAATTAGAATTGCTGTTTTTTAAAAAGTTCTTATTTATTTACTTGAGAGAGAGAGAGAGAGAGAGAGAAAGACAGTTCAAGCAGGGGGAGGGGGAGGGACAAGCATACTCTGTGCCCAGCACAGATTCCAATGTGGGGCTCCATCCCAAGACCCTGAGATCATGACCTGAGCCAAAACCAAGAGTCGGATGCTTAACTGGCTGAGCCACCCAGGCACCCCTAGAAGGCTATTTTTTAATATATGTATGTTATGTAATCTCTACACCCAATGTGGGGCTCAAACTTACAACTCTGATATCAAGAATTGCATGCTCATCTGACTGAGCCAGCCCGTTATTCCTAGAAAGCTATTTTATTTATTTATTTATTTATTTATTTATTTATTTATTTATTTATTTAAGATTTTATTTATTCATTTGAGACAGAGAGAGAGAGAGAGAGAGAGAGAGCATGAGCAAGGGGAAAGGCAGAGGGAGAGGCAGACTCCCCGCTGAGCAGGGAGCCAGATGTGGGGCTCAACCTCAGGACCTGGAGATCATGACCTGAGCAGAAGGCAGATGCTTAACCATCTGAGCCACCCAGGTGCCCCTTCTAGAAGGCTATTTTATTTTTTATTTTTATTTTATTTTATTATTTTTTTAAAAGATTTTAGTTACCTGACAGAGAGAGACACAGAGAGAGAGGGAACAGAAGCAGGGGGAGGGGGAGAGGGAGAAGCAGGCTTCCCACTGAGCAGGGAGCCCGATGCGGGGCTCGATCCCAGGACTCCAGGATCATGACCCAAGGCAGACGCTTAACGACTGAGCCACCCAGGCACCCCTAGAAGGCTATTTTATTTTATTTTTATGTTTTTGTAAGATTTTATTTATTTATTCATGAGAGATGGGGAGAGAGAGAGAGAGAAGCAGAGGGAGAAGCAGGCTCCCAAGGAGCAGGGAGCCCGATGCGGGACTCGATCCCAGGACCCTGAGATCATGACCTGAGCCGAAGGCAGACGCTTAACCATCTGAGCCACCCAGGCGCCCTAGAAGGCTATTTTATTTTTTATTTTATTTTAATTTTTTTTAAAGATTTATTTATTTATTTGAGAGAGCGAGAATGAGAGAGAGAGTACATGAGAGGGGTGAGGGCCAGAGGGAGAAGCAGGCTCCTCGCCGAACAGGGAGCCCGATGTGGGACTCGATCCCGGGACTCCGGGATCATGACCTGAGCCGAAGGCAGTTGCTTAACCAACTGAGCCACCCAGGCGCCCTAGAAGGCTATTTAAAGAGAAGGTAAAACATTGCTGTTTAAAAGTTCCTAGGGTAGGCCAGGAAGGAATAACGTAAGCTGTTGCCGAAACACAGGGTGAAGGGATCAGGAAGTTGGAATATTACAAATGTATAGAGGAACTGTTGGTTCACAGCCTTGAAAGCTTCCTGGGTGCAATCTAAAACTGGCCCCATAAACAGAGGGCAGAGAGAGACCAAAGAATGAGGCCGAGCACTCCAGATTGGCAGATGGCAGATTTAAGAAGCAAGGGAACTTACATACACAGCTTCTCCTGGGTGGCCAGATGAAGAGTAGATCTCTGCATCTACCCTCCTGAATCTTAAAAGTTATAGAGGCCTTAACTGGGTTCAGTCTTGTACACTGTCCAGATGCCTTCAAAACGCATTGCTCCCTCAAGACTGCATCCTTGAACATGGCTCCCACTGTAAGAATGGTGGGCAGAGCGTATATTCTGGGGACAGGGGAGGAAGCGAGGAGCCTCGGGTTGCCTGTGTCCGGCTCTAGGGTCAACCAGTAGTCACACTCTTTTGATTACCTCCTCCCAACAGGAATGTATAGTTGGGTGACGAGACTTTTTTTTTTTTTTAATCTTTTTCAAGTTTTTATTTAAATTCCAGGTAGTTAACATACTGTATAATACTAGTTTCAGGTGTAGAATTTAGTGATTCATCACCTTAATACAACATCCAGTGCTCATCACAACAAGTGCCCTCCTTCATACCCATCGCCCATTTAACCCATCCTCCTGTTCATTTCCCTCCATCAACCCTCAGTTTGTTTTCTATAGTTAAGAGTCTGTTTTACGGTTTGCCTCTCTTTTTTTCCTCTGTGTTCATCTGTTTTGTTCCTTAAATTCCACATATGTAAAAATCATATGGTATTTGGGTGACAAGACTTTTAAAAGATTTAAATCATGTAGTTAATCTGAAATTAGCAACCTGTTCTCTGCGGGTAATATGCCCTCTTTCAGCTTCTTTCAAGTACATATTTATCACCTATAACTCACTCTAGCACATGTACCATGCACCTTGAGACTAAAGAAAATACACTGAATCAAAATACTCTTTTATGTTTAAAGAGTTAAAAAGACTTAAAAAGTCATATTAGCATCCAAACAGATCTAGTTCCAGGAATTCTCAGATGTAAGCTTATAAATCTAAATCTCCCTTAAAAGGTCTCTAATATCTATGATGCTCACCATCAGTTGGTAGGTTTTGTGACAAATCTTTAAGCTTCTCATCTGGGAGCTTGATTTTCATGTTTTCTAAAATGTCTTCCAGGTTACTGACATCAAACTTCCCACCTAAAGAAAGAATCAGGCACACAAGAGAAATTTAATGATTTTCCTGAAGGAGAAAATTTCAATGAATCCCCACACACCATGGCTAGCAGCAAAAATATCAATGACACAACACATTCAAGTGTCCACAAAGGTGGACAAAATGAAATTAGAATTGTAACCTCTTCCTTGGTCTTGAGGACAATCCTACAAAGTACAAATTCATTATCCAGTGAATTGCAATGGGAGAGACACAAACTGAAAATTTTTTTCTGGTAGGTGGGGCATAAATGCTCAGTTTAGTTCTTCAAGTCACTGAAATGCCTTGAACAACTGCCAATTCTTTACCTCACATTTTCTATGTGGACCCAGATTTAAATATGCTCTTAAACTAAATTTGACAAAAACCAAACTCACTAAGCAGCAAAATGAAAGATTTTGAACAAGGCAGCTCTATTCAAAATAGCAAAATCAGTTCAGATAAGAGGTGGTAAGATCCACAAGAGAACAGCTAAATGATACTACAAATACGACGCAGGAGAATCTTCTTTATCTTTCTTTTCATTATGTTACTTACGATTGAAAGATTTCACACCATCTAGCAATCTATTTTTGTATACATTTCCATAATCTGTAAGAAAAGGCAAAATTGCCATCACAGATAAAGTGATATAGCTATTTAAAGAGACAGAACAAATGTATCATTTCATAAAGATACTTTTAAATGATTTGTCTTAGAGATAACTTTGATTTTTACCCTCCAATGAATCTGCAACCATAGAATGAGAAAACTTACAGAGTGCTGTGTCTGACCAAGTGCAAAGCCAGTAATTGGTGGCAAATGACACAATGGAATATGAACACATCTTTCTTTCACTTTCTTTGACTTTTCCTTCTTTCTCCTACTCCTTTGTACTCCTCCCGCCCTTACTTTTCCTTACATCTCTCAGCTTAACTTTTAGTTTTGAAGGCAACAACAATATAGCTGAAAATTTTACATCCAAAGGCAGGATCCAAGAAAACAGAGTTGCTGATTCCCAAAGAAAGAACCAAATTACACTTTCCAAAGGAAGAACAAGGCGATGCTAAAATTTCTTAGACATTCTTTTTGTTGTTGTTTTAAAATTAGCATATGTAATAAATACAGCTTTTTTTTTTAAGTTGTCTTAAACACACAGGACCAACCTCCCTTGAAAACTCTAATAGTATTTGAAATGCTTACCATCAACTTGAAGATTTTTTACCAGTTCCAGGTATTCTTTAGGTGTGAACTCTATCCCAATGTCTTCCAAAATATTTTTCAGATCTTTGACATTAACTTTTTCTCCTTTAAAAAAGAGAAATGGCAAGTAAAGTTGATAATATTATTTAAGTATCTAAGTATTATTAAGTATTCAAGTATTCTAATTATCTAAGTATTCAAAAATATGAAATAAAATTGTCCACATTTATACATCACCATCCCTGGCTGCTAGATACAAAACAAAGGTATAGTAAGACCTGCCCAGTGGAGTAAAGGGCAGGCGGAGAATTAGAACTTATTCCCTTGATCCTAGGGAAAGATGCACTTTCATAACATTGGGGCTAAGACAGCATAAGTCTCAGTAAACTGTGGATTTAGGCAATTGTTTTGTAAATTAGAATGTAAAGATTAACCTAATATCGCTCTCCACTTTTCCTAAAATTATTAGATTATTTAGCCAATATCCTAATTTTTACTTCAACTATTATTGTGATAATCTAGATCAAGGATTAGCAAACTTTTTCTGTAAAGAGCCAGATAGTAAATATTTTAGAATTTGCAGGATATAGATCCTCTGTTGCAGCTACTCAACTCTGCTATTACAGCACAAAAGCAGCCATTAATAATACATAAATGAAGAATATGACCGTGTTCCAATAAAATTTTATTTTTTAAAAGGGTCAAAGGACTAGATTTGGTGTGTGGCCAGTAGTTTATCCTTGATACAGATTTTCAGTTTTTTCAGTGGTGAAGATCAGAAGCATTATTATTGATAAGTATTTTAGAGGATATAGGACTTGTTATGGAGAAATGAGAAAAAATTTTTAATATGGGTAACCCAAAAACTGACTCTGGACAATTAGACACAAGCACTTGTAACAACACCCTTGTAACCAACATTTATGTGAGAAATAGAACACTGATAACACTCTGGGGGTCTCTCATAGTCTTTTCCAATCCCTATCCACAATCTCTCTGTAGAAGGTTATCATGATCCTGACTTTTTGGACAATGATTTCTTGCTTTTTTAAATATATTTCTCACATTATTAGGGTTAGGGAACACTGCACATCACTTACAAAAGCATTTTTATAGAGGCAAATGAAACAAAATGAAAGATTATGCTGTTATACAGGTAATAAAATTACGATTTTTTAGAAGAATAGGCAATATAAAATTCAGGAGAGTGTTATCTCAAAAAGTGGGGAGGCATGGTAAAGGGATAGGGAAGCAACCATGTGTTGATGCAATTATATTGGAAATATTCTAGTTATTTTGTTGAGGGGGAATCATGGAAATTAGTACTATGCTTATGGATTTATGTGTTCATTGAAAAGACAAGATGGGAAAATGTCATTAAAGAATTAGAATTTTAATCTTATTGATAACTTTTAACTTGCCTGTAACTGCTGTCACATCACTCATCACTTTTTTCAGAGAAACATTTCCATCAGCTGTAAGACAAAAAAAAAATTCAGACAATGACACAAGACAGGAAAGTTGTGATGTAGGGCCCAATGAAAGTCCATATATTCTATTAAATACTTTGTGTTCACCTTAAATCTATATTTCCTGGTTTGAGTGCTTGGTTCCTTATTAGTAAGAAGGACAGTGGCATTTGGCCCATGTCCCTTGAACACAGGGTCTGACTATGACAAATGTATTATCTTCAGTTCTTAGGTCTTCAGTACTTTCTTATGAGCATGGCAAAAGATATCATCCATAAAGGTCAATTCATTTTGTTTTGTTTGTTTTTGGTGAACCTTACATCTAGCACAGATACTAAGCAAGGGGCTTCACATCTTCCATCTATTCGCAATAAGGCTTCTCAAGTGTTTCAGCTCCTGTATCTATCTCAAAATGGTGGTGACATGGGCTTATTGGATATTTGAGGAAATATTAATGATGTTCTACTAGTTCCTATTATGGATATTTTTCTCTCAGTTATTTCAGGCTCTCTTGGTTAGGTATTCATTCATTTCCCCCACTGCCCCCATATTTGTTTCTCTCTACCACTCTCTGGCATGCTATCAGCTGTGAATATCCTCTCAGCAGTAATCACTGTTGATTAGGGTGATAATTTCAGATGAACTGAGGTGAAAAAAGACAGGATTTCTTTTTACTTTAAGACCAAGTTCTTCTCCATGAATCTTAAAAATATCTTAAACTCCTCAAATCCATCTAGTTTTAGAAATTCTTACATATGGGGGCGGCTGGGTGGCTCAGTCGTTAAGCATCTGCCTTCGGCTCAGGTCATGATCCCAGGGTCCTGGGATCGAGTCCCACATCGGGCTCCTGCTCGGTAGGAAGCCTGCTTCTCCCTCTCCTACTCCCCCTGCTTGTGTTCCCTCTCTTGCTATCTCTCTCTGTCAAATAAATAAATAAAATCTTAAAAAAAAAAGAAATTCTTACATATGATCCCAAGATTCTAAGCTCTCCCCCAAAAAGGCAAAACAATTTTTTACAATGCTCACCATCCATAGGTTGATTTTGTATCACACTTTTAAGTTCCTTATTTTTGAGCTTGATCCCCATGTTCCCCAGAACTGTGTTCAGGTTGTTGACATCAATCTTTCCTCCTTAGAAAGGGATGGAGATGTAAGAAAAAAACCAATAAAGACACAATATGAAAAAAATTTCTTGTGCTGATGAGTTAATTCAATTCTCAATAGGCCTGGATGCTGGTTACAGTGTTAACTGGAATTACCTTATTGGAAAGTGGTTTGGCAACAACTATCATGATTCTTTAAAATGTTCATAACTCTTAGCCCACTAATTCCACTTTTGGGAATGCAGAAAAAGCTATGCCAAAGGGGAGAGGGAAATTTTCATTATAATCTTACTTGTAATAAAGAAGGAAGGAAGGAAGGAAAAGAAGAAAGAAAAAGAAAGAAAGAAAGAAAGAAAGAAAGAAAGAAAGAAAGAAAGAAAGAAAGAAAGAAAGAAAGAAA